AGTGGTACAACGCTTGGGACGTCTCTACGGTGCCCCGATGATTTCCCGGGGCGATTTGAACAGCTTTTTGGTTTCCCCGAAAAAGGGATGTTTCATGGGACTATGCCCTCTGGTAAACTAACATAACCATGGAAAATCACAATTTTTTATGGGTAAATCCACTAGAAATGGCCATTTTCAATAGCAAAGTGTTAGATTACCAGAGGGTAATGGGAAAATCAACTACATGTTTTTTCTATAATGGTGATGTCATGGGGATATCAATCAGCAAAATTGGGGATATACCCTTTGGATACTTTGGCAATCAAACGTGGTCGTGGCAAATACCCTATAAATAGAAGTTTTAATAGAACATTCATCGAACTAAATAAATGGGGAATCTTCCATGGTCACTTTTGATTACCGGAGTTATAGTTCAAACATATTTTCCCCACAATGATTACCCTCTTGGCACTGGGCCTGTCAGATCGCTCTCTCTTTGGCGCAGTACTCATATTGAGATCGCTCGCGCACCCATCTTGGCACTTTGGGCCTGTCAGATCGCGCTCGTTGTGGCGCGGTTCTCATTTTGATAGTCAAGGAGACCTTGTGCAGAGATCTTGACAAGGAGGTGTTTTGTAGAGAGCTTGCGCAGAGATCTTGCCACGGGCACTTCTTATAGAGATCTTGTACAAAGAACTCTTATAGAGATTTTGTACGGAGATCTTGCCAAGAATGCCAAGAGGTCTCTTACATAGATCTTGCTAACAGAGCTCTTATAGAGAGCTGCTTGTACAGAGATCTATTCAAGAGATCTTGCCAAGAGACATCTTGTAGAGATCTTGTACAGAGACCTGGTGAAGAGAACAGAGATCTTGCTCAGACAGAGATCTTTTATAGAGAGCCTGAACAGAGATTTTTCTTTGAGATCTCTTACAGACTTCTTCTGCGGAGATCTCTTCTAAACACTTTGTACAGATAGCCTTACTGCATTACAAAGGGATTTATATCTTGCGCACTATTTTTGCAGAGATGTTCACAAAGGGAACTTTCAGAATCTAACCTGGTATCTCTTCTTCCAGAGACCACCTTGATTGAATACCATGCTTTACAATCCTTCCCACCTTTCCCTGCCTTTCCCTTTAGAATCCCAACTACACATTGTTTTGGGGTCTGCCGGGCTAATATTCATTCGCGTAGGATTCTGTGGCGGTGAAATCCGGAGATCAGGTGATGAGCGTCATGCAGATGTGACCTTCATAGTGCAGCTGAATGAGGAGCGGAAACTGCATGGTTTTGGTATCTGAAAATATTGGAAGTCCCACACTGAGCTGGTTGTGAAGAATTTTGGTTCCCTGTGATTTGATGGCCAAAAATGGTTTCATTTGCTATCTTCAGACCTATATACATGTGACGGGTTTGTGGCATCGGCATCATCATCATCATCATCAGATTATTTCAATCATGTTGCGTTATATATGTGCATCGTTGCAAGTCTATTTTCCCTCTTCATCAGTTCATGATCTGGTTTGATAGTCATACACCTAGACCTTCAACGTTTTTCGCATAGTTTTTTTTGAATTAGCTGGGTAGGCACCATTTCTGCTCATTCAAAGTTTTCACGTTTCACATGGGATCAAGAAACCACCAGCTGTGCACCTTGGTTGCACATCGCCAGCGCTAGGAGTCCCCCCGGCAGCACTTCGTGGCGCATCGCAGTGGGACGCCCTAAGGGAATCCATCAGATCCCCGGACATGGAACATAAAGACCACAAAAAAATGGGGGTATCCCATGTAATTCAAGAAATTACTTTACTTCGTGTGATCCCCATCATGACATTTATACATTTTGTTACTGGCAAATCTTCTGGCATTCTACCTGACATATCTTCTGGCATTCTATCTGGCATATCTTCTGGCATTCTATCTGGCATATCTTCTGGCATTCTATCTGGCATATCTTATGGCATATTATCTACTCAAATCTTCTGGCATTCTATCTGGCAAACATTCTGGCACTTTATCTGGCATATCTTCTGGCATTCTATCTGACATTTATTCTATCTGGCATACCTTCTGGCATTCTATCTGGCATATCTTCTAACATTCTATCTGGCATATCTTCTGGCATATCATCTGGCAAATCTTATGGCATTTTAGCTGGCATATCTTCTCGCATTCTATCTGACATTCTATCTGGCATATCTTCTGGCATTCTATCTGGCTTTTGAGGTCCAGCGGTGCGCACTGAGCTCGGAAGGCCCCAGGTTGAGGTCCAGCAGTGCGCACTGAGCTCCGAAGTTGGCGAAGAGCTTGGCCAAGAGTTGGCAAGGCAACAGTGGACGTGGAAGTGGAGGCAGAGGTGGTAGAAGAGGAGGAGGACGCGGAGGAGGAGGAAGGAGGAGGAGGAGAAGGAGGAGGAGGACGAGGAGGAGGAGGAGGATGAGGAGAACAGCTCTAATAAAATCTAACAACCCTCACCTGGCAGGTGGGGAATAACTGGTGATATATCCCCAAAAGATAGAACAACACGCGATTTACTAAATCTTCCTAGGATTTTACTGTGTTTCTATCTGGGGGATTGCTATAGTTGCCTTCTGGTAATTTAACATAGCCATGGTTTAGATGGCCCATAGAAATAGATGATTTTCCCAGCGAACGAAACCTCCATTTATTGTCGGGATTTTCCATGGTTATGTTAGTCATTACCAGATGGTATCCCATGTAAAGTTGGTCTATAGTTTATAGTTCCATCATGTTTTATTGTGATACAACTAGAACATGCTAGAAAACCACTTACGGAGAATGTGTGATGCACATCCAAGTCTATGAACGGAAGACATATGAAATGGGGGAACTGCAACATTGCAACATCTAAGGAACTTGCAGGGAAACTGGAAAAAACACACGTGAGATATCAGTTTGATGCAGAATTCGGATAGAAGCACTCCTTTGATGGTTGTATATATATATATAATTATATATAGATATTTCATGTTAGTTTCACTCTGTCTAGGGCTGAAGACCTCAAAATTCAGATGTTTGCCCATCGTACTGGCTAGTTTGGGGTGGTTTGGTGGAGAGGCATCACCCTGCTAGTGAAATCTGCAGCCTCATCACACTGAAAGTGCTAGGTGGCTTCAAGATGGTTTCAATCATGTCGGGGCTATACCCCCAAAACAAATATCTACGTGCGAGTCATACCAGCACATCGCCACATGTGTGGGAGTACAGAGTCAAACAACAGATACCCCGTGGTAAACTACCGTAAGTATGGATCACCATTTTTAATGGGAAAATTCACTATAAATGGTGATTTTCCATAGTTATGTAACAAATTACCAGAGGGTACAACCGGCGCTTTTTGTTTGGTGCTTTTAATGGTTTGGGATTTCCATTTTTACCCACTGATGGACAGATCTCCACCGGGAAGAGCATTGGAAATCTTCACCCGGCTATGTCAACGGGGAGACCCTGTTCCATCTACCCTCTGGTAATTTAACATAGCTATTGAAAATGGTGATTTATAGTGGATTTTCCCATCAAAAATTGTGATTTTCCATAGTTATGTTAGTTTACCAGAGGGTAGGTAGTTTTAAACCGCACTTTCTCCATTGAATGGCCATATTGTGCATTAAATTGTTGCTGAAAGTTGCTGATCATCATTTTCTCTGATTTTTCCTCACTGATTCATAGCTCTAGAACGGGTGCAAATCCCTTCCTAATGGTCTAAAATGGCACCCTCCAATTGATATAAATGATATACATGGCAACTTTTGGTTAATGAACTATATATCATTATAGATCATAGATCTGGGTAAATTATAACGACCTCACTGCGACCTCACTATAATCATAGTAAGGGGAATAATCCAAAAATGAATTATTATAATTTACCCAGATAGATCATCAACTCCCCATAAATTCACATAGAATGTGGGGCCCCCCACTTATAAGTTGGTTTATAAACCCCATTAACTATAGTTATAAGTACCATAAACCATAGTTATTGGAGTTATAAACCCATTAAATCACTATAAAATCCCATTAAATCACTATAAAATCCCATTAAATCACTATAAAATCCCATTAAATCACTATAAAATCCCATTAAATCACTATAAAATCACATTAAATCACTATAAAATCACATTAAATCACTATGAAATCCCATTAAATCACTATGAAATCCCATTAAATCACTATAAAATACCATTAAATCACTATAAAATCCCATTAAATCACTATGAAATCCCATTAAATCACTATGAAATCCCATTAAATCACTATGAAATCCCATTAAATCACTATAAAATCCCATTAAATCACTATAAAATCCATTAAATCACTATAAAATCCCATTAAATCACTATGAAATCCCATTAGATCACTATAAAATCCCATTAAATCACTATAAAATCCCATTAAATCACTATGAAATCCCATTAAATCACTATAAAATCCCATAAAATCACTATCCCATTAAATCACCCATTAAATCACTATAAAATCCCATTAAATCATTATGAAATCCCATTAAATCACTATAAAATCCCATTAAATCACTATAAAATCCCATTAAATCACTATGAAATCCCATTAGATCACTATAAAATCCCATTAAAACATTATAAAATCCCATTAAATCACTATAAAATCCCATTAAATCACTATAAAATCCCATTAAATCACTATGAAATCCCATTAAATCACTATAAAATCCCATTAAATCACTATAAAATCCCATTAAATCACTATGAAATCCCATTAAATCACTATGAAATCCCATTAAATCACTATGAAATCCCATTAAATCACTATGAAATCCCATTAAATCACTATAAAATCCCATTAAATCACTATGAAATCCCATTAAATCACTATAAAATCCCATTAAATCACTATGAAATCCCATTAAATCACTATGAAATCCCATTAAATCACTATAAAATCCCATTAAATCACTATAAAATCCCATTAAATCACTATGAAATCCCATTAAATCACTATAAAATCCCATTAAATCACTATGAAATCCCATTAAATCACTATAAAATCCATTAAATCACTATAAAATCCCATTAAATCACTATGAAATCCCATTAAATCACTATATAAATCCATCCCATTAAATCACTATAAAATCCAATTAAATCACTAAAATCCCATTAAATCACTATAAAATCCCATTAAATCACTATAAAATCCCATTAAATCACTATAAAACCCCATTAAATCACTATGAAATCCCATTAAATCACTATAAAATCCCAACTTAGCTATCTTGGGATTCGCAACTTTCCACACCTTTTTTTCCCACAGAGGCCTGGTCTCCGCCTGGTCCGAGCCGCTGGACTCGATGCTGCAGGGCCACTTCGCGGAACGCCACGCCGCCGAGGCCGATCAAATCCCGGAATGAGATTGAGATTGATATATATATATATATATATTAAGTATCCCGGAGTATATGGATGTATATGGAGGTACTATGAATCGAATGGGACATTATTACAATTTATATATTTAATGGGATATGATTATCAGATTATGGGATGTTCATCTCAACGATACTCGGGATTCATATACTAATATATAATCCCTAGACATACTTAGGATATACTGAGGACATCCAATAATATTATTAGTATATGGAGGTTTCAGTAAATGGGGGTACCGTACCCCCATAGCTGATTGGTTTCTTTCATGAAATCCTATGAAAAATACGGATATGAACTGGGGGTAGCCCATGGACTGGAAACCACCATATTAGTATATAGTAGTTATACTTAGGATATATAATCCCTAGATCTAGATCCCATATGATCCCGTCCTAAGAATTGTAATCCTGGATGTATCGTAACACAATTGGTTATACCAATTATCCATCGTTTGAATATAGATAGTATACACTCCTAGATATACTATGATATAACATAGTCCTATTAATATCAAAATAAATATCATATAGTATATCCATTAGTATAAATATCATATAGTATATAATACATATTATATAATATGATATAACATCCTGTAGTATGAATATGATATATCCTTTATCATATTACATTCTATATGGTATATTGTTTATATATCATCCTATATCCCATTAATCTGGGTAAATTATAACGACATCACTGTAATTCAGTATAGTGAAATATTATAATTTACCCCGATTAATAGTATATTTAATATTCCAATGATTATAAATGATAATCTAATTAAGCCTAGACCTAGATAGTATAAAAGGGTTGATTAGTACACAGTTGATAGGTTATATCCTATTGATAGGTTATATCATATCCTGTTGATAGGTTATACTGATACTACCTAATTGATTTGTGATTGTGACACTCCATTACAGGATGTATAGTATTGTATAGTATGATATAGTAACATCAGTATCAGATGACGAAAAGTTTCAATATATATAAATAAATAAATATATATATATATTTCAATTGCTTATTTTAGGTACGATTGGATTTCCCAAATTATGTATATATATTTATACATTGGTTCATTATTTACATACCATTAAAAATGGTGGCAATTCGATTTTTCAGGCGCATCGGGTTGGCTGAAACTGCTGCTCCACTGGTCAGAAAGCTGATGTGACTATAGTTGCCGACTGTAGGGATGCACGATTTTCATGGAGAATTGTTTTAGGAGACGTGTGACATTTACATGTATATATGCACATATATAATATACGCTCTGGTAATCAAACATGGCAACTGAAAATCACCATACATGGAGGTTTATAGCTGGAAAACACATTGAACTAAATGGGAAAATTTCCAGTAAACCCCGTTTGATGACACCGGAGGGTAGATTTGATAAGTTTCACGAAGGAGTCAATGGATTGGTTTCTGCCGGAATTGGTCGATGTTGGAAACGATTGTTTTTTTCCATGACATCCTTCGTTTTTTTTTCTGTATATTGTCTTGTATATAAATGTGTATATAAATATACATATGATATATTTCCATAAACATATTTTCTGTATATATATATGGTAGTTTTTCACACATATATATATATATATGTATATATTTATATTTTTCCATGTATATACATATGTACATGTCCGAAAATTTTTCCAATAAACCAATCAACTGAAGGGCAATTTTCATAAAGCTCACCAGGTGAAGATCTGGGACGTTGAGCCCGCGGCCTTTGAAGTGCTGCTGAGTCCCGGTCGAACGACCGTGGAATTCTACCGTGGAAATTGGACAGGTGGCAGTTGAGCCACTGCACATACCATGGTTGATTGGTGATTGTAAGGGGATGGAACAAGCCATGGGTTTATAGGGTATTGGAACCAGAAATATGGGGATATGCTTTATGTAGGATGGGTGATTGGTTGAGGAAAAGGAGTTTTACCAGCTGGTTATGATGTACGTTTCCTATCTTGGTTACGTGTTTCCCTGTGTCTAAGATGTTATCTTAGATGTCTGAGGAACTGTGCCAACCGTGGACATGCCCCTGCCATTTGGGGATGATGATTCCCGCCCATCTGTCGGTGGTACCGTACAATCCTCCATGAACACTTCGATGCTAGCGACCAGCGACCTCCATTGATTGGGGATTTCCAGTGGTTTTGGCGAGACTGATCCATTGCACCCAAGGAGACTGATCTACACTGGTGTGGCTGACATTTCACCTGAGAACGTCCGCTGGCCCGTGGACATCCGTGGACACATGACGGAGCAACCGGGGTTTTCGACCACGGAATCAGCAGGGATTTCTACTTTGGATGGGGCGTTTATTGCATGGGAAAACGAGCGAAGAGCGATTCAACTGGACTCAAGTGGACGTCTATCTGTTTCAGAGCACGACTTGTGATTGTTCCCTCTGGTTATGTCAAAATAGCTATTGAAAATGACCATTTATAGTGAGTTTTCCCATTAATAGCATGGTGATTTTCCATAGTTATGTTAGTTTACCAAAGGGTAAATTGAACGCATCATATCGCAAATGGTGTTTTGTCCAACCGTAAACAATCCATTTGTAAAAAACTCATTGCCAAACAATCTATGTAAGTTTCCATCGACAACCCCGGTGGTCATGTCCGCATTTTTGGTCTGATAATGTCCGGCATAACAAGGGGCCAAATGATCCTTCCTCTGTTAGAATAGTTTTGTTCCAGAAATGGTATACCCTAAAATCGAGTGGTTTATCATCATGTTCCCTATTCAATGGTGCTTAGCATTAGCAGGGAATTTTCGGGCATGATCCCCAGTCATCACAGTCATCAACCCATCCAGCAACCCATCCAGCAACCCATCCAGCAACCCATCCAGCAACCCTACGTAAAACTCATCCGGTTCGGGATCAAGAAACCACCAGCCCAGCCAAGTGCCGCCATTATTAGTGTTGGAATTAGACCCATTCTATGATAAACACGTGTATGTATGTATATATATATATATATACATATTTATACATTTATCTATTTATCCCATACACACCAATTAAATCCCATGATATAAAGTCATATTCCATGGTATAAAATGGTGTATATATATATATTATATACATACACATGTATAAATACATATATATATATATATTATATATGTATACACATTGTACCAGTTCTACCTCGATTATACCACCATTTGCGCAAATTATGGCTGGTTTTCCATCACCATGTTTGTTGGTCATCCCAGTCAGATCCACAATTCTGGTTGGTTGTTGTTGGTGAACAACATTTTTTTGGATGACTTTCTCACTAAGTAAATCTGTCGTTGGATGATTTTCCCACATTTCATGCCCATGAAATCCTCATCTGCCAAATGTTCATTACTCTCGTGAAATCTAACCTGGGCCAAAAAAAAAATATCCCGCTACGTTAGCGTTCGGGATTTCCCGTTGAACAGCGCTAACATAGCAGCTGAAATCTTGCATGTTCATGGGGTGATTTTGATACTAACCTGACACCTGCCGCGCCTCCATCAGCACAAATTCCCAAAAGTGTCAAGTTAGTGTTCGTGCTGTGTTTGGGAACATGGCGAATACTCCAAAGCTGGAACCACCAAATGGAAGGTGCCATGTTTGACTGGCACAACTGTTTTTGCATATCTTCCTGGGGCTCACTCTTACTGGACCCAAAAAAGCTTCAAAACGAACAGTTTTACATAATAGATTGAATAAGGAAAAAACTCCTGGTCGATGTTGCCAATCTGGCTCCTTGCTGCCATGATGATTATGATGTACTATTGGAGGTTTTGGGAACCCTGGGCAAATGCTATGTTAGCAATCCTGTTGCCAAAACTTTGGTTTAGATTGAAAATCATGACTGGCACAAATGTTTTTGCATGTCTTCCTGGGGCTCACCCTTACTGGACCAAAAAAAGCTTCAAAACGAACAGTTTTACATAATAGATTGAATAAGGAGAAAACTCCTGGTCGATGTTGCCAATCTGGCTCCTTGCTGCCATGATGATTATGATGTACTATTGGAGGTTTTGGGAACCCTGGGCAAATGCTATGTTAGCAATCCTGTTGCCAAAACTCTGGTTTGGATTGAAAATCATGACTGGCACAACTGTTTTTGCATGTCTTCCTGGGGCTCACCCTTACTGGACCCAAAAAAGCTTCAAAACGAACAGTTTTACATAATAGATTGAATAAGGAAAAAACTCCTGGTCGATGTTGCCAATCTGGCTCCTTGCTGCCATGATGATTATGATGTACTATTGGAGGTTGGGAACCCTGGGCAAATGCTATGTTAGCAATCCTGTTGCCAAAACTCTGGTTTGGATTGAAAATCATGACTGGCACAACTGTTTTTGCATGTCTTCCTGGGGCTCACCCTTACTGGACCCAAAAAAGCTTCAAAACGAACAGTTTTACATAATAGATTGAATAAGGAAAAAACTCCTGGTCGATGTTGCCAATCTGGCTCCTTGCTGCCATGATGATTATGATGTACTATTGGAGGTTTTGGGAACCCTGGGCAAATGCTATGTTAGCAATCCTGTTGCCAAAACTCTGGTTTGGATTGAAAATCATGACTGGCACAACTGTTTTTGCATGTCTTCCTGGGGCACACCCTTACTGGACCCAAAAAAGCTCCAAAACGAACAGTTTTACATATATAATAGATTGAATAAGAAAAACTCTTGGTCGATGTTGCCAATTTGGCTCCTTGCTGCCATGATGATTATGATGTACTATTGGAGGTTTTGGGAACCCTGGGCAAATGCTATGTTAGCAATCCTGTTGCCAAAACTCTGGTTTGGATTGAAAATCATGACTGGCACAACTGTTTTTGCATGTCTTCCTGGGGCTCACCCTTACTGGACCCAAAAAAGCTTCAAAACGAACAGTTTTACATAATAGATTGAATAAGGAAAAAAACTCCTGGTCGATGTTGCCAATCTGGCTCCTTGCTGCCATGATGATTATGATGTACTATTGGAGGTTTTGGGAACCCTGGGCAAATGCTATGTTAGCAATCCTGTTGCCAAAACTCTGGTGTGGATTGAAAATCATGACTGGCACAACTGTTTTTGCATGTCTTCCTGGGGCTCACCCCTTACTGACCCAAAAAAGCTTCAAAAACGAACAGTTTTTACTAATAGATTGAATAAGGAAAAAACTCTGGTCGATGTTGGCCAATCTGGCTCCTTCCTGCCATGATTATTATGATGTAATTGGAGGTTTTGGGAACCCTGGGCAAATGCTATGCTAGCAATCCTGTAGCCAAAACTCTGGTTTGGATTGAAAATCATGACTGGCACAACTGTTTTGCATGTCTTCCTGGGGCTCACCCTTACTGGACCCAAAAAGCTTCAAAACGAACAGTTTTACATATAGATTGAAATAGGAGAGACTCCTGTCGATTGTTGCCAATCTGGCTCCTTGCTGCCATGATGGATATGATGTACTATGGAGGTTTTGGGAACCCTGGGCAAATGCTAGGTTAGCATCCCTGTTGCCAAAATTCTGGTTTGATTGAAAATCATGACTGGCACAACTGTTTTTGCATGTCTTCCTGGGGCTCACCCTTACTGGACCCAAAAAAGCTTCAAAACGAACAATTTTACATAATAGATTGAATAAGGAAAAAACTCCTGGTCGATGTTGCCAATCTGGCTCCTTGCTGCCATGATGATTATGATGTACTATTGGAGGTTTTGGGAACCCTGGGCAAATGCTATGTTAGCAATCCTGTTGCCAAAATTCTGGTTTGGATTGAAAATCATGACTGGCACAACTGTTTTTGCATGTCTTCCTGGGGCTCACCCTTACTGGACCCAAAAAAGCTTCAAAACGAACAGTTTTACATAATAGATTGAATAAGGAAAAACTCCTGGTCGATGTTGCCAATCTGGCTCCTTGCTGCCATGATGATTATGATGTACTATTGGAGGTTTTGGGAACCCTGGGCAAATGCTATGTTAGCAATCCTGTTGCCAAAACTCTGGTTTGGATTGAAAATCATGACTGGCACAACTGTTTTTGCATGTCTTCCTGGGGCTCACCCTTACTGGACCCAAAAAAGCTTCAAAACGAACAGTTTTACATAATAGATTGAATAAGGAAAAAACTCCTGGTCGATGTTGCCAATCTGGCTCCTTGCTGCCATGATGATTATGATGTACTATTGGAAGTTTTGGGAACCCTGGGCAAATGCTATGTTAGCAATCCTGTTGCCAAAACTCTGGTTTGGATTGAAAATCATGACTGGCACAACTGTTTTTGCATGTCTTCCTGGGGCTCACCCTTACTGGACCCAAAAAAGCTTCAAAACGAACAGTTTTACATAATAGATTGAATAAGGAAAAAAACTCCTGGTCGATGTTGCCAATCTGGCTCCTTGCTGCCATGATGATTATGATGTACTATTGGAGGTTTTGGGAACCCTGGGCAAATGCTATGTTAGCAATCCTGTTGCCAAAACTCTGGTTTGGATTGAAAATCATGACTGGCACAACTGTTTTTGCATGTCTTCCTGGGGCTCACCCTTACTGGACCCAAAAAAGCTTCAAAACGAACAGTTTTACATAATAGATTGAATAAGGAAAAAACTCCTGGTCGATGTTGCCAATCTGGCTCCTTGCTGCCATGATGATTATGATGTACTATTGGAGGTTTTGGGAACCCTGGGCAAATGCTATGTTAGCAATCCTGTTGCCAAAACTCTGGTTTGGATTGAAAATCATGACTGGCACAACTGTTTTTGCATGTCTTCCTGGGCTCACCCTTACTGGACCCAAAAAAGCTTCAAAACGAACAGTTTTACATAATAGATTGAATAAGGAAAAAACTCCTGGTCGATGTTGCCAATCTGGCTCCTTGCTGCCATGATGATTATGATGTACTATTGGAGGTTTTGGGAACCCTGGGCAAATGCTATGTTAGCAATCCTGTTGCCAAAACTCTGGTTTGGATTGAAAATCATGACTGGCACAACTGTTTTTGCATGTCTTCCTGGGGCTCACCCTTACTGGACCCAAAAAAGCTTCAAAACGAACAGTTTTACATAATAGATTGAATAAGGGAAAAACTCCCGGTCGATGTTGCCAATCTGGCTCCTTGCTGCCATGATGATTATGATATACTACTGGAGGTTGTGGGAACCCTGGGCAAATGCTATGTTAGCAATCCTGTTGCCAAAACTCTGGTTTGGATTGAAAATCATGAACTGGACCCAAAAAAGCTTCAAAAACGAACAGTTTTACATAATAGATTGAATAAGGAAAAAACTCCTGGTAGATGTTGCCAATCTGGCTCCTTGCTGCCATGGTGGTTACGGTGTACTATTGGAGGTTTTGGGAACCCTGGGCAAATGCTATGTTAGCAATCCTGTTGCCAAAACTCTGGTTTGGATTGAAAATCATGACTGGCACAACTGTTTTTGCATGTCTTCCTGGGGCTCACCCTTACTGGACCCAAAAAAGCTTCAAAACGAACAGTTTGACATAATAGATTGAATAAAGAAAAAACTCCTGGTCGATGTTGCCAATCTGGCTCCTTGCTGCCATGATGATTATGATGTACTATTGGAGGTTTTGGGAAATCATGACTGGCACAGCTGTTTTTGCATGTCTTCCTGGGGCTCACCCTTACTGGACCCAAAAAAGCTTCAAAACGAACAGTTTTACATTATAGATTGAATAAGGAAAAAACTCCTGGTCGATGTTGCCAATCTGGCTCCTTGCTGCCATGATGATTATGACGTACTATTGGAGGTTTTGGGAACCCTGGGCAAATGCTATGTTAGCAATCCTGTTGCCAAAACTCTGGTTTGGATTGAAAATCATGACTGGCACAGCTGTTTTTGCATGTCTTCCTGGGGCTCACCCTTACTGGACCCAAAAAAGCTTCAAAACGAACAGTTTTACATAATAGATTGAATAAGGGAAAAACTCCTGGTCGATGTTGCCAATCTGGCTCCTTGCTGCCATGATGATTATGATGTACTATTGGAGGTTTTGGGAACCCTGGGCAAATGCTATGTTAGCAATCCTGTTGCCAAAACTCTGGTTTGGATTGACAATCATGACTGGCACAACTGTTTTTGCATGTCTTCCTGGGGCACACCCTTACTGGACCCAAAAAAGCTCCAAAACGAACAGTTTTACATAATAGATTGAATAAGGAAAAAACTCCTGGTCGATGTTGCCAATCTGGCTCCTTGCTGTCATGATGATTATGATGTACTATTGGAGGTTTTGGGAACCCTGGGCAAATGCTATGTTAGCAATCCTGTTGCCAAAACTCTGGTTTGGATTGAAAATCATGACTGGCACAACTGTTTTTGCATGTCTTCCCGGGGCTCACCCTTACTGGACCCAAAAAAGCTTCAAAACGAACAGTTTTACATAATAGACTGAACAAGGAAAAAACTCCTGGTCGATGTTGCCAATCTGGCTCCTTGCTGCCATGATGATTATGATGTACCATTGGAGGTTTTGGGAACCCTGGGCAAATGCTATGTTAGCATCCTGTTGCCAAAACTCTGGTTTAGATTGAAAATCATGACTGGCACAACTGTTTTTGCATGTCTTCCTGGGGCTCACCCTTACTGGACCCAAAAAAGCTTCAAAACGAACAGTTTTACATAATAGATTGAATAAGGAAAAAACTCCTGGTCGATGTTGCCAAATCTGGCTCCTTGCTGCCATGATGATTATGATGTACTATTGGAGCTTTTGGGAACCCTGGGCAAATGCTATGTTAGCAATCCTGTTGCCAAAACTCTGGTTTGGATTGAAAATCATGACTGGCACAACTGTTTTTGCATGTCTTCCTGGGGCTCACCCTTACTGGACCCAAAAAAGCTTCAAAACGAACAGTTCTACATAATAGATCGAATAAGGAAAAAACTCCTGTTCGATGTTGCCAATCTGGCTACTTGCTGCCATGATGATTATGATGTACTATTGGAGGTTTTGGGAACCCTGGACAAATGCGATGTTAGCAATCCTGTTGCCAAAACTCTGGTTTGGATTGAAAATCATGACTGGCACAACTGTTTTTGCATGTCTTCCTGGGGCTCACCCTTACTGGACCCAAAAAAGCTTCAAAACGAACAGTTTTACTAAGGAAAAAACTCCTGGATGTTGCCAATCTGGCTACTTGCTGCCATGATGATTATGATTACTATTGGAGGTTTTGGGAACCCCAAAATGTTAGCAATCCTGTTGCCAAAACTCTGGTTTGGATTGAAAATCATGACTGGCAACATGTCTTCCTGGGGCTCACCCATGGACCCAAAAAAGCTTCAAAACGAACAGATTGAATAAGGAAAAAACTCCTGGTGGATGTTGTCAATCTGGCTACTTGCTGCCATGGTGATTATGATGTACTATTGGAGGTTTTGGGAACCCTGGGCAAATGCTATGTTAGCAATCCTGTTGCCAAAATTCTCGTTTGGATTGAAAATCATGACTGGCACAGCTGTTTTTGCATGTCTTCCTGGGGCTCACCCTTACTGGACCCAAAAAAGCTTCAAAACGAACAGTTTTACATAATAGATTGAATAAGGAAAAAACTCCTGGTCGATGTTGCCAATCTGGCTCCTTGCTGCTCCTTGCTGCTCCTTGCTGCTCCTTGCTGCTGCTTGCTGCTGCTTACCTGCTGCTGCTCACCTGCTGCTCACCCCGACTCGTTGCATTGGGATCACCACCCCGGGGAGATACACAGGGGAAACAAAAAACTAGCATAGCATTTCTGCCTTCCAGGATTCTAGCTAGGTCAGTCTCTTTCAGCTGCCAGGTTAGCACCCATCGCAGTTTTTGGATCTCCATTTCCTGGGGAATGCACAAATTATTCCCTCAACGGCGCCGGATGCTATGTTTATGAGTTGGTGCCAAACGGGCCCAAAATCTACCTATCTCCTTTTCCCCAGGCCGCACAACGGTACCGGATGCTATGTTAATGAGTCGGTGCCAGAGCTGATCTATGCTATGTTAAATTTCATGGGTGTACACCCCCATTACAAGTCTAGCTCAATCGTCCACATATTATAAGTCCGGGTAAACATCCATTATATTCCCCGTATGTCCTGGACTACTTTCATACAATCCCATCCCCCGTTCACAAAAAAGTTGCAGCCCGGTTCTATGGTCCCAGTGAGATATGGTTTGATCCCCTACCATGGTTTCTAGGGGATAAGGGCTGAAGGGGGAAGGGATTCCCATTATTAAAACCTCCTAATGGTCCATTAAACGTAATTATCATTTCATGATGAAAATTCCATGCTTACAGTAGTTTAGTTTAGATAATTTCATTCTTGAAACTTATTAAAATCAATAACTAGAATAAACTGATATGGCAATATGGTAGATTACTATCATTCCATATTGAATAGGGCTGACTGAGTGAACCAACCACTCCTTACAGCCTCAGCCTTACGTCGTCCGCTCCGGGTGCCCCTTTAAGGTGTTGTCCATTCTGGACGTGGCGGTGCGTTTCGATGTGTCGCCGCTGGTGCACTTTGCCGTCGCTCGGCTTGGGTACTGGAAGATTTTTCGGGGAAAACGGCCTGAAATCACTGGTTAATAATGGTTAATAATCACTGGTTGGTGGTTTGGAACATGGCTTTTATGACTTTCCATATGTGGATGTGGGTCAAAATGGAAGACCATTAATGGGACCACAGATGTTAGTTTGTCTAGTTTAGTATGAACCATCCAATTATTGGTGTACCTAATGACTTGACCCATACCCTATTGGTTCATCATCATTTTATATCATTTTCCCGACTATTTTAGGGCCAGTTGGTAGGTATACTTGCCCCATCTTCATAATGTGAACATGAATGGGACGGTTTCACGGTTTCAATCCTAGGTTGAACATGGAGCCCAGCCTATGGATGAATCCCAGGGGGGACCCCGAATCATCCAAATTTAATTGGTGATTCTCAATGGGAAAAGCAATGGTTTGGAGTAGAAACATATTTTCAGAGTCCTGCATATGCTGAAGCCAGCAGCTAAGAATCATCGCTTGGTCCAACAATGGGTGAAAATCCTCCCACAGGGCCATATTTTCTCATGGGTAAGATCATGATGAACCACTGGTTCTTGGGGTGCCCTATTTTAACACCAATTAGATATTTGAATTGGGGAAATTAACATCCAGCTATACCAGCTTTGGCGCTGAAAACCAGGGTCATTGACCCATAGCGAAAGATGTTACCTATTGGCTTCGCCTGCTTGGAAGACTACAGCTATACCAGAGGTACAGTAAATCAACTGACAACCGGCTGGTTTTTCAGGCTACCAACTGCTACCATTGCTGTTTGGGCAGTGTTGATGTGCAGGATCCAACTCGTCTTAGTCCACTTGTGTGGATTGATTGTTGGCCCATTGGCTACCATCTGGTTATGACTAACATATATCATATATCATCGCCATGGAAAAACCCAACCATAAATGGAGGTTGAAAAAAAACTGGGAAAATCATCTATTTCTATGGGCCATGGCTTCCATGGCGATGTTAAATAACCAGAGGCTAGATGATTACAAACTTCGGGATCAGACATGACGGTTGATGGTCAGTTTTTTATTCGCAGCAGAGTTGTAATGGAAAACATGGACCAACCACATCCAGCGATGCCACAAAAGTTTCAGGGTGACGTATATGAGATAATACTGAAACAGTTTGATACAGTTCCACCAGTCAACCAGAAGCCACGGAATCGGGCATGCACTGTCTGGATTTTCTGATGCTTTCGATTTTCCCATGGGTTAATCCACCATTTTGGGATTCCATGGGGAACCACCGCTGCAAATCCATGGTGCTGCAAGGTTCAGTTCCTGCAAAACCACGCCACTTCTGAGCACGCCTGTCGCATGTTGGAGGTGCGACCTGGCAGGATGTGAAGGAAAGCAGAACTGTTTTGCAGTTGGATGCCAGGAGGTATTCGCTTGGGAATGAGGTAAGATTTGAGGCCGGGGGACTATAGATTGTTTGAAGGGAAAATCAAAACCGGAAACCATGGTTTCCCCAATGTAGAGGTGTCCTGTCGATTTGCAAAACCCCGACTTCCTTGGTGAGATTGGAATCCAGTACCAGCTCAGCAAGCTGGTGGACAAATGCATCGAGCTCATTGCAGGGTCACCCAGATAGAACTGGGATTTCTGGGCAAACTTGGGGTCCGGGACCCAAAAACTTGGGATATTTCCATGGTAAATTCAAGGTGCAACCCCCGAAACATATCCTGTTTTGGAACACGCCACAGGCGTTACGCTGAGAAATGGGGGCCTGCAGATGTTTTTCACACTTTCATCTTTTGCTCAAAGAATTGATAGTGTCATACCATGTCATACCATGTCATACCATGTCATACCATGTCATATCGATATTACAGTATTACATCCCTTCATCTTTTGGGGATTCCGCTTGATCATTACCAGGGATCACTTCCCAAAAATCCCCAGCATCCCGAGGTGACAGACGACCATATCTTGGAGTCTGAGGAGAGGGAACTGCGTTTAGCCGGTTTAGCTGAGCCTTGGAGCTGAGTGTCAGGTTGAAGGGAACATCGAAAAGAAACCAGGATCTTCTGAGTGAAAAAAAAGGGGTCAGCCCAGAAAATGTTTTCCCTTAAACTTTGACCAATCCAGTGATTCTGTTAGTTTTTAGAGTCCAAACAGGTTTGTTCAGACAAGAGGCACACCCATGGCAACTTCGTTTTTTGCTGCCTTTTTTTCCCCTTTTTGAACAGAAATAGATTGGGGTAAACGTTGGTGCAGCATCATGTGTCTCAGAAGGGACGGTTGACAGGGGCTCGTGGGCCAGTCACAGATCGACCATATCTGGTTGGTGGTTTCAAACATGGCTTTTATTTTCCACAATATATATATATATATATCAATATATGGGATGTCATCCTTCCCATTGACGAACTCCATCATTTTTCAAGACGGTTAAAACATGTTAAAACATGTTAAAACCACCAAGCAGATATTCATTGTATCTTGAGTCCAAGATCGCTGGATTAATCTACAGTTTCATCCCCTGAGGTGAATGATCAGAGAAACCACCAGAGAAATTTTCTCCTCGACTGCACGGCCTCAGCAGGATTTCAATAACTTGTCGCAGGCTGCAATGATTGAGCTGGTTGGGATGCCTGGTGTTTTTTTGTGGTCGCTGGATGCACCAGGTTGTGCTGTGACCATGCCTTGGAGCATGATATCTTTGTCTTCATGGATCATTTCATCTATACTATTCTATATTGAAACATGGTTGGTTTAGTTTCGGCCAGTCCCTATATTTCATTATACATGTCTCTTAATTTTCCCCCTGCTTCTGCGTTTCGTCCTTCAAAGTGTGCCGGTACGCCCTTGGACGGCAGCCTGTCGAGCCAAGGCGAAGCACGATGCTTGGAACTTGCATGAGGACAGCATCTTCGACATCTTCATGCGTGTGAGACTCAGATGGGTCATACCGCACCTATGATTTTGAAGTGTGAAACCCAGTATGGAACTTGATGCGGAAATTCACGTGATACCCACAGGATGGGTTTAGGGGACGGGAAAACCGGAAAACCTTTGTTTGGGGCAAATGCTTTCCTGTAAACAAACACACACATGGAAAGCCTACGCAAATCTTGGGTCACCAGAATAAAGCTAGTTTTTCGTGTACCCTCTGGTAAACATACAAATAGCTATTGAAAATGGCCATAGAAATAGTAAGTTTTCCCATAAAAAATGGTGATTTTCCATAGTTATGTTAGTTTACCAGAGGGTAATTTGGTTATTTTTTGGAGGGTACCACGTCCCTGGAATTCCATCGATACCCCATCGATACCAGGTTGGTCCACTGTGAACTCCTCGTCCGTTGAAGAGAAGCATCGCTTGGCCCAGCCTTTTCTGGACTGAGCTGGGGATAGCTGCATAGCTGGGCGTTTTAAGCTGCTATTAATGGGGGTTTCCTAAAATAGGGGACCTTCAAAATGGATAGTTTATAACGGAGCATCCTATTAAAATCCTATTAAAATGGATGATTTGGGGGTACCCCCATCTTAGGAAACCTCCATATATGAGAGATGAAAATGGTCATTGGATGGTCAATGCTAAAACTATGCTGCCAAGCTGGGCTCTGCAGAGAGGTCTTAAATTTTGACCCGTACATGGAACCACGACACAGACTAGTCTCAATGGCCATTCCAGGATTCTAAATTGGAGGTACCTACCATATATAAGGCCTATTTTTTAGGCCTATGTAAGGGAATGTCCCCACAAATTTTGGCCTTATATGGTACCTCCATTTTAGGATCCTGACATTCCCATTGATACTGACTGCAGAACTTGGTCTTTGCAGCACCGAGATGACCAGGAGCAGCTGCGATTCCCGCACATGTCCACCGAGAAGTTGAAAAAGCCGGGCGACCCGGTGGAGGATCCGGTTGAAATCGCTTCAATCTAAGAAAGCACTGTTTACATCTATTATTATATTTATCATTTATTCATGATGCATCATATATATATAATATATATATATAATATGATTATGATATGATGTTGCATGATTGATTCATGTGTGGCTCGGTAGCTCTCTTATCTTAAGTGACACATATGTTACACAGAACCCCCTCCCAACTGCCTCGGCTTTCGCTCCAGGTTGAGCCTCAATGGAGACGTGCCCGCGGAACTGTTGTTCGAGGCGCTCTTCTGGAAACTGAGCTCGGAGGCAGCGGAGCGCCTTTGATGTTTTTGAGACGTTGGGTTCAGCACCAACTGGGAAGATCATCAGTAGAAGTATGTGAAACTCGTTGAACATGAATATGTTTCGATATTTTAACCGTGGATTTTGATATGATTTGGATCATTCTGGGAAAATTATAGTGACCTCACCAGCATGCCTCGACATATCTCGACATGTTTATGATGCCAACACGGACTTTGAATCAGATTTTGCAACATGTTTCAATTGCCCATGACCATTTAGAGCGATGCGACTGGGTCAACAGTGGCCCATCTGTGCGAACATGGGTTTGGGTGGTTTGACCTCCCATGCCAGGCCCATACAGTACCCCAACAACCTGAATGAAGTATACATGGTTTGACAGGAACAATTATATACTGTCATTGGGTTATCTTAAGGTTTGTGAAACATCATGAGAGGACATCTATTCGACAATGGTGATACACGGTGATACATGGTGATACTATTCATTCTTGCTAAAAGAAATATAAGATGTATAGAACTCTTATTGCACTTATCTCAATGAAGTGTTGGCAAATTGGATCAGTACTGAACAGCACGGTAGTGGTTGCTTCCCCAGCATTTGTTTTCGAAGTCGGAGCCCAAAAGCAGGTGGAAGATGAAAGCTGGCTTCTCAGGATATCTCTGAAAATTCTGTGAGATGTTGCCTGGAATAGGGTGCCCCAAAAATCCAGTGGTTTTTTTATTGTCATCATGTTCCATTCCAAGATTGCCGTAATGGGGGTATACCGTAGAAAAACTCTATTTTCAGGCACCCATGTCGAGAGGTAATGTTTCAAGACCCTAGGTTTCCCATGACATGGCCGTTGCATATGTTGAAAAAGCACCCGGTGAAACTGGGGTTCAAAAAAGAAATTCTGTGTTCACCTCTATCACCTGAACGAGAGAGTAAACTCACTGGCTACTCAATTCGTTTTTTTCGCGTTTTCGTTCGCTCTGCAGGGAGGGTCTGGGCAGACTGGACTGTCCCTGGATTTCCCCCCCTCTCGAGGGTTTGGGCAGAATTTTGGATGATACTCGCGGACCCCAACATGGCAATCCTTAATCGCTTAAGAATGTCATATGAGTCATGATTATGTAATCAATCATTGAATTTTGGTGAGCCAAACCACATTACTTTCAGCCAAACCCCCAGGTCGTCTTCGGGATTTTCAGATTAAGCAAAGACACCGTGGTCCAAAAAAAATCCTGCAGAAGCCCTCCATTTCCATTGGATGCCTGCCGTTTTCATTCACATTTTCCTGGGACCGCTATGAATGCGGCCACTGAGGTAGTCAACCAGCGTTGCTTGGACAGACTTTTCAGAATCGGCAGATGGGTTCGTTCAAAGGTGCAGAGGCAACTTAGATGTAATTAAAATTGCGTGGATCATGAGTTTTTTTTTAATGAACATAAGTCCGACTCTGAATCTTTTTTCATGAGCTTTTCTTCACATTGGTCCATAGCTATGAACCAACAGCCTGTTTACATCTGTTTACTATCATTGTTCTCCATGTGAAATCGCAAGTTGCTCGAGGCCTGGCTGGTGATAGAGTAACTCTTTGGGGTACCATGGGTGGATATCCACGTTCCCACCATCAAACGCTAAACCGGTTTACGAATGGTGCAGAGCATCCTGGTTTGTCATTTTATGCACAGTCACAGGAAGAACCGTGTGATTGGTCCTTGCAGTTGTTTCACCAGTGGCAAGAATTGTTGAAATGAGCGATGAATCAAACGCTGTGTTAACTTCCAAAATTTAACTTCAAAAGAATCTACAGTTTCACTGTTTCACCTGTTCATCTCTCATCTTAAACGGCACGTACTTGTATGGTATTCTGTTGCTGTGTTAACTTGTTTCTGCAGATGAAAATCCATCAATCTCCTCAACAGTCTCCCTGTGATACTGTGGTAGCCCCTTGGATCCCTCTGGCAATCTACCATGGCAACCGAAACTCCCCATTTCCAGATGATTTTCACATTATAGTAACCTGGACTCTGAAAGGATACAGAAGAGTTACCCTCTGGTAAACATACAAATAGCTATTGAAAATGGCCATAGAAATAGTGAGTTTTCCCATTAAAAATGGTGATTTTCCATAGTTATGTTAGTTTACCAGAGGGTATGTTTACCACTATTCTGGTAGGACTTTAACACTTCTAATCAGTCCTCCGGTCTCTGGTAATAAGTCACATGGCTTGCTGAAAAATCTCCCATGGACGAGCGGTAAGAGCCTTCTAACCATGGGCCGTGCTCAGGGCCAGGAGAAGGCAGGGCGAAGCAACGAAGCGGCAAAGCCTTGGTTTTCCTCAAAGATGTGACAGCTAATTTATGCGATATCTCATACATTTCAATGCAGATCAATCAGTATCTTGAGGTATCTTGTTTTATAGATACATATATACGTATATGTATATATATTGTTTGTATTGTATATGTATTATATTATATATTATATATTATATATTATATATTATATATTATATATTATATATTATATGTTATATGTTATATATTATATATTATATAACATATCTTATATCTTATATCTTATATATATTATATATTATACACTATACATTATACATTATATATTACATATTATATATTATATCTTATATATTATATATTATATATTATATCTTATATATTATATATTATATTATTTATTATATATCATATATTATATATCATGTTATATATCATATATTATATATCATATATTATATATAATATATTATATATTATATATCATATATTATATATATATTATATATTATATATCATATATTATATATATATCATATATTATATATTATATATTATATATCATATATTATATATCATATATTATATATCATATATTATATATATCATATATTATATATCATATATTATATATATCATATATTATATATCATATATTATATATCATATATTATATATCATATATTATATATCATATATTATATATTATATATATCATATATTATATATCATATATTATATATCATATATTATATATCATATATTATATATTATATATTATATATCATATATTATATATCATATATTATATATCATATATTATATATATCATATATTATATATCATATATTATATATCATATATTATATATTATATATCATATATTATATATTATATATATCATATATTATATATCATATATTATATATATCATATATTATATATCATATATCATATATTATATATTATACAATATATACATGTACAAATTATATGCAATTATAGACATGTAATTATAGATCATTACACTCCGGAAGCAGACCGCTGCAGGGCGCGCGTTGGTTCTCTGCTCTTCTCTTGGGTGTGGATGCATAAAGGAGGGGGTTCAGGATTGTCAGCTCTGGTGCCTGGTTTTAGATGCGATAAGGCAATGGAAGAGATTGTGCCAACATACCTGGATGTTTCTGAACCATTCAGAACCTACTTTTCATAGCATATTTGGGGATGAAGATCCAGAAATCGTATAAATCCAACCTGTTTCGTGTCTCAAGAAATCCCAACATTCGAAGCTGTTTGGATCCTGATTGCCCTTTTTAGTTTCAAAAAGCAGAAGAAAGGCCGTCCTCGCCAAGGAAACAATGATCAAAGCATTGTGAATGATGGTCAATACGCATCTGTTTTGGTCACCTTGGGCACCTGAGTAGAGTGAATCCAAAATGGCGGGAGTTGTTTTTTTGGTTCTTTTCTAAGCTACCCTCTGGTAAATTAACATAGCTATTGAAAATGGCCATTTATAGTGGAATTTCCAATTAAAAATTGTGATTTTCCATAGTTATGTTAGTTTACCAGAGGGTATTTCAAGGGAAATGTACTCAAAATTAGGCATTCAACTACCCCGAAGGTGAGCCCCACCAACAAATGAATGCTTATGATTCGCCCTTACCAAAAAGTGCGCAAACTGCTGGTTCATTGGTGGTCTGGAATGTCACCTTTGTGGGTGTAGTTTCAATGTGTTTCAAGAACCATAAACATTATTATATATTGTTATATATATATGTATACACATTGTTTTTTCCCCCTGCCAGTGTGAGGTGCCAACGTCCCGCGTGACCGTCAGTGGCGACGCTTGCCATATCACTGGTGGGCGCCCAGGGTAGGCTGACACAACTTGTTTTTTTCGAGCTTCTCCAGAGTTAGGATCGTCCCCACTTTCAACCTTTTACGCCCCAGAACTTTTCGGGATCAATTTGCAGGGCTCCCTGCTGCTCCAAAATTGGATGGTTCCTGTAAACTCTCCACGGGAATCCATGAATTTTGCTGGTTCAAATCCCAGTTGTTGAGGACAGTCTTGACGCTGGAAGAGGGTGAAATCCCTCATCATCCTTCCTTATTCTGGGTACGTTTCTTGAAATGGGGCAACCTCAAATCATCCCAAACAGGTCATTTTGCTTCTGGAAAAACCATGGAAAATGGTAGTTGTACCACAACTTTGAATGGTCTTAAGACTACAGAGTAACTCAAGTTAATTCTTCAATTTCACCAGAGGATCTTAATCTTAATCCAAATGGGTTCGAATCAAAACCTAGGACACTGAAGAGTAGGGCGAAGATCCAAAATCACAACATTCCAATTGTTGTCATATGTGGTCACATTTATATACATGTATCACCATATGTCATGACCATATCTGTTCTTTAAATCTGTGTTGATCCCCCTGTGACTGTGGAGATACCGAGATACCTGAGGAGCTGCGGGAGAATGCCCGCCATACCTCGTCCAACGGCTTCACCGGAGTGCGCGGGGATCGGCGGATGAGGTGCGGATGGTCAATGGATTGGTTTAAGGGAAAATCTTAACCGGAAACCCATGGGTTTTTACCATCAAATATAGGGCTTTCCGGTTAAAATTTTCCCATCATCCAATTCTATGATATGGGGAAGTTGGGACACGTTTTTTTTTTTTGGAAGGTTCCAATTTTTGAGATGAATTCGAGATCATTTCATTGCAGCAAAATGTTGAGGTTTTTCGATGGTCAAAGTCTCCCCCGTGAAAATTCCCATGCCGCGGCAAGCGGCAAGGCATGGCACCTTTTCCTGGAGCATTGACATCACAGAGACCCAGAGTTCGTGGATCTTCGTCCCTTGGGCGAGGAAGAATTAGAAGGAATTGGGAACTGTTAGCTGAAGAAACTTTGGCATATTTTGGCATGGATATAGAATGATATAGATTCATTCACTATCATCATCTATCATCCCAGGTCCCATTCGTCCTCAAATGTTAAGCTAACAGTAGCTAACTTGTGAAACAATGGAAGATGATGGACTCCTCACTCCTCCAATAAGGGAAGCCGTATCAACCCTTCTTGAAGGCGATGACTTTTAGGTACAGTGGCCGCGTTTGCGCAGCCAGGTCAGTTGACAGTTACAATACATGTATTCATATCGCATCACAGATCTTTACAACTACCATCTGGTTATTTAACAGTTCGCCATGGAACATCACCATTTTAAATAGGTATATAAACCATCTATAAATGGGCCATTTACCATGGCTATGTTAAATAACCAGAGGGTAACGTTAGTAAAGCAATAGGATCTGTCACCCCCATGTTTACCAATTTTATGAGTGGTATATATATATAAACTATAGATTAAACTAGTATAAACCATCAAGAGATGGATAGTTTATGATATTGCTTTACGCACACTAGTTGCAATGACATGTTGTTTTGATTCCTTCCCACCTGATCAAACGCTAGCTATGGCGAGGTTGGCGTGGTTCAAGCCGAAGATACCAATGATGTTGCGTGGCGCGCCACTGGTCACATGTCACTTGGCTGTTCTTGGATTCAATGGGCACTTCGTAAATCATTAGGAGCTATGGTTGCAACCCATAGGTATAAGACAATTTTGCCGAGCCGATTTACAAACACCATGGTCGTTGCCGGCAAGAGGAGCTGCATCCAAATTCAAGAAAAGGCTTGAAGCCCTTACTCTTGACGTTTCTGGAAAGTTGTATAATGTGGAACAAGTCATCCAATATGGTACCGTGGTACCTGCAGAATTCTGTCAAACTATTTGGCCCCAGCCCATGCAGCAGCCCGGCAGCCCCCACAATCGGCTTTGACCCGCAGTTGCTGTGCATCATCCAATCGTGCTGCATATCCATCACTGACCAATCTAGTCATGATTTGGCAGTGTGTCAAAACCTTGTACGCCTGTAGTTCACATCAAAATAGCTGGGATTTATGGATGTTCATCCCCCTAAAAATGGTATTTTCATAGGTATTGATCCATACCCATTTGTCACATTTTGTCATGTTTTATCACAAGGGGGCACTTGTCCAATGGTGGACACACTATGGACATATTGGGGATATCCCAACACTGCCTTTTTGACTATAGAGAACATGATGATCCAAAGGATGGACTGGGCTTTTCCCAACATTTTCAGTCACCCTAAAAATTGCCCAGCGGTTAAAAGATTTTTTTGCACTGACCTGGGGGCATTGTGGCGATCTTTTTCGGTGCGGCCAAGATGATATCTGAGGCTGTATTGCTTGGATTCCCGCTTTTTTCACCAGGGTTCAGGCCACGTTTTCGGAGAATCCCCTGAAGGTGGTGTCGTAAATGGGACACGAATGGACACGATCCAAACATCTCTTTTTGTGCGGCTAGCCTACTGAAGACAGTCAATGTCCGCAATGTCCGCATTTCCCGATTTTCCAATGGGTTGGTTGAACTTGGTGGGAACAATTACGGTTGAAAGTATGTTTCTCACCAGTAAATATAGGGCTAAACCCTACAAATTTGTCCTTCCAATTCTGGGATATTTATGGATATTTGGTTTGATGCTTCAAGCTTATCTCATTCCTTTGGTTCGTATCAATCACTGCTAGATCCCATCCCCAATTTTTTTTTTCGGCGCCTCATGGCGCCAGGTCAGAACCATCCCCTGGGGGATCGGAAGATCGTGTCGGGTGATTGCATCCGAGTGGTGTGGAGACCTTCGGAAACGGCCTTGGGGAAACGGCAAAAAAAACAGGTGGTGGTGCTCCCCGATGTGAACGTTGGTGTAGAACACTTCCAGTTCTGGTGTAGAAAACCCTCCTGGTAATGTTCGGTATACCATAAAGCCAAGTGAAATTGGAGTTATTTCAAGCAACTGATCGCTATCGTAAACGGGGGCGCTGCTAATCCCTGATGGTTGATTATAGGTTATACTACCCTTTACTATGCGTTTATTATATATAGTATACTGTATATATAATTATATTATATGTATGTATAATTATATTATATGTATATATATATTATATATATATTGGATTATCCTAATAAAGGGACCACAGAATATACTACAGAGGGTTTTGAACACTGCTCAATTGTAACAGACCGTCCTTTTTTGAAAAAGCTATAGGGAATTATTAGCAACATTGGATATTGTATTCCATTATTCATCCCAATTTTTGCGTGGTTTACATATGTGATTACCCCATTTTGTTCGGGGACCAGAACCACCGTATTCTTAGACTTAACGCCGATTAACAAATTGACAATCAACGTGGTTAGCAAAGAATATATTCATTTTGCCCTATGAAGATTATATATATATATAATATGTATTTAGGAATTAGATTGACGAAGGCTATTTACATTCAATTTATGGTGTTTTGGGATTGGATTTGGCCAAATCCTATCTTTATTGGTTGCCAAAGGTGAACTGCTGGGTACGGTAGGATCCCGAAAAAAGTGGCTACATGGACTCGGTCGTACTGGTGAGACGGCTTACTTACCCGCAAGAAGTACATTAAAATGTGCTGTACCCATGTATACAAATTGGCAACTTAGCACATTGGTAACTTAGGAGGTCTTCTGGGGCACAAGAGCGGTTCTTCATGTGCTTTTGTTGCACAGAAAACGGTCAAGCTGAAAAAAAACTTCGGAGACTTCGGTCCGAATTGCCCCTTTTTCATGGCCAAGGTTTTGGATTGCACCCGGCACACTTTGGCTTTTGGGTTGGAGCTCAGGAAAAACCTTGGGCGAAACCCCAAAAGCGTTTCCCACGATTGGATTCCCACAGCTGGAATACCAAATTTCACAGTTCAGCAACAATCAACCATCAATATTAGTTGATGGTGACTTACATGTTTATACTTGAAAATATGGTATATAAACATATTTGGGGATTGGTTTTTTCCTAAGTTTACAGCATTTTTCCATCTTAAACGACATCGACCTCGACATCGACCTCGACCCATCAGCCGATTTTTTCGGGCTCAGGGTCAACGATGAGCAGCCCATGGTGCTCTTCCGAGACCTGGAGGTCCGGGATCCAGTTGTTATCTGATGCTGTGGACATGTTGATCCAGCGTCCCCACCGTTATTCCTATGAATAACTATGACTACCCTCTGGTAAACTAACATAACTATGGAAAATCACCATTTTCAATGGGAAAACTCACTGTAAATGATCATTTTCAATAGCTATGTTAGTTTACCAGAGGGTAAATATGATTGATAGGTTACTATATGATAGTATATATATATGACATATATGATAGATATGATTTATGATATATATATATATATCAGTTGTTATGTTATATAATGTTATTAATATACTATTACATGATATAATATATGGCATATATATGCAAATATACTATCACATAATATTACATGATATGTGGATAATATACTATGGTTTATATGATGATACCACAATGATCACAATGACACAATGTGACACGCCTGTATCATATGATAATCCCCCTTTTCCATCATGTGAAATGCTAACACAATATTTGATCCAGTACAGTACCTCACCAGGATTTTTTACGTGGATTGGATGATTGTTGGTTGATATCCAATTTGACCCCTCCAAATATGAAAAATGGTTACCACATTTACCAAAGGAGTTGTCGTGGTTGCATATTGGAGCTATTCATTTTCGGAGGAAGGTAGGAATGTCACATATACATACAGGTGGTGCCAAGATTATAGAACGAAATTAGGAGTACAAAAGTACAGGAAAATACCGTACCTGAAGGTACTCCTCCGGATCCCGATTCGGCGCAGATTCGGATCCTGTTCTATAACTAATTTTTCATAATTTGTCTGTTCTATAATTAATTGTTCTGTTCTATCATTTCTGGCACCTTGGAGGTTACTGACATATACTTGCATCATTTTATGTATCTTTCTGGGACCCCGGAAGACCGGAAGAGGTTATTTACATATATTTGCTTCATTTTATTTATCTTTCTGGGACCCCAGAAAAAAGTGACACAGAAACCAGAATTATAGGACGGTTTACGCAAAATTAATTCTAGAACGGAACAAAAATCTATAGAACGAAACTGGTAAATGTGGGAAAAAAAGGGGGAAGCCACAATTATAGATCAAACCAAAATTATAAAAGGACGAAAAACAATAGGAGTACCCTCTGGTTATTTAACATAGCCATGAAAAATTGCCCATTGAAATAGATGGTTTACCTATTAAAAATGGTGATTTTCCATGGCTATGTTAGCCATAACCAAGCTAAGATACCCAAATGACTCCACTGTTCCCAACATCCTTTGCCGAACTGGAAAACAGCAGTGAGGCCACGTGGTACGTGCCAGCTGTGGACCTCAGAGATTGTGGAGACAAGGCCCGGTGACCTTGGCGATTTTTATTTGTTCTGTAAAATGTGAAAATCCGAGTTGAGGAAATGGTGATTTAATGGGATTTTATAGTGATTTAATGGCATTTTATAGTGATTTAATGGGATATACCCTGGTAAACTGAGGATTTAATGGTGATTTTATTGGGATTTTTCATGGGATTTTTAATGGTGGTTTTTCATGGGATTTAATATGATATAGCCTCCGGTAAACTAAGAGTTTGCTATTGAACATGGCCCATTGAAAAAGTGAATTGACCTACTACAAGTGTTGAGTTTCCATAGTTATGTTGGTTTACCAGAGGGTAACTACAAAAAAGGGTGGGTTGGAAATGCTTGATGATGTTCCTGTTCAATAATCATCACTGGCAGATGATTGTTGACGTGAGGAAGTCTCTGTATATGGACATAGAAAAATACTGATATGCCATGATATGCCATAATTTCAAACAGATAGATCCCCAGCTAGTTTTCTGAAGTCACTTTTTGTGGTAAGACACTATAGAAATTGCACCAACCATCATGAGAATGGGGCGATGATCCAAGAAATGGGGATCGTATTGCAATTTTTTTTGCAATTTTTGATAGGTTGAACACAGCCATTGAACATCCTACATCAAGTTTTTTTTTCTGGAAAATCATCAAACTAAATGGTGGATCAAAACTAAACAACCAGTTATTTTCAGATTGTCATCCGATTCATCCCCAGCAAGTGAAGAGATTCTGAGTTTGCGCTTCATGGGTGATGTAAAGCAAAAAAGATCCCAAGAAGATCCAATCATAATATAGCCATCAATTATCTCCCAACGACTGCGTACCACCGGAAAGACTGGAAATGGCAACTACCTCTCCGCAGCTCTGCATGAATCTGTAACTACCTCTCCGCAATTTTTGTACGGTCGTTAATGTCGCTGTGGGATCTGTGGCATCTGGAAGCTACAAACCTACAGTTTGCCAGGTCCGCATCTTGAGTTCTCGACAGCAGGATGCCTCAGCTGTGTTCGTGCAGGTTCCATACGTGGGCTTAAACGGTAGTGTAGCATGGTATAACCACGGTAGCAAGCCCCAGAAAATGGAATATGTAACCCTTACATTATATGAATTATTGCCATATACTGGCTTATGAAGTAGAACTGTAACCACCAGTACGTCATACTTTGTTGTTCCAGGATTCTCAGACATCTCCATCTTTTTTTGCTTGATACAGGACGTCGTCATGTTTGTTGGATTTTTTGGTATATTTTTGGGTAAACAAGCATGAACATACTATATAATACTATATTAGTATATATATATATAATTACTCTATATATGGGACACATTAGGAAACGTAAGAAATGATTTACATACTATATATATATATATACTATATATACTCTATATATAAGGATATATACATTCAACGAATGGTTTGCCAAGGAAATGATCCGGTGAAGTCCCAGGGCGTAACTGATTTTTCGGCACCAAGGAGTGGCAGCACCAGTTCTTCAAAGCGATCACAGGTCCCAGTGGCGTTACGAATCGTCAGAATCCACCCGGACGATGAGTGAGAAAGCCTAACATGGAGCTTTCCGAAGTCATGGGGGTACCCCAAATCCTGCGGGTCATTAGATGATGATTTAGTATGAAAAACTTAAAACCTACCCTTTGGTTATTTAACATAGCCATGGAAAATCACCATTTTTTATAGGTAAACCATCTATAAATGGACCATTTTCCATGGCTATGTTAAATAACCAGAGGGTATAATTTGGGGATCACCCATGTTAAGAAAGCCCCCTTTTTTGTGCCACGGCCATGGTTGAAACCTGGGGTAACGGCTGCCCCTTTTTGGGGGAATCTTCATGAATGATTAGTATCCCAAATGGCTCGGGGGTCTTGCTGACAAATTTCACTGCCGTAAGCAAAATGGAAAGATTAACCACAACAAAAACGTAAGGTTTCAGAGGATTTTAGAAGGGGAATGGGGATATGTAAATTGATCTATAGAATGTGATATGTGATATGTATATATATATATATAACTTTTTATATAACAATATTAATATAATATAATATAATATAATATGATATAATAATATGATATAATACAATATAGTATAATATAATATAATGTAATATAATGTAATTTAAGTAATATGATATGATATCATATAATATGATATGATATAATATAATATGATATAATATAATATAACATGATGTAATACAATACAATATAGTATAAATATACTATGATATAATGTAACATAAATAAGATGATATAATATATTGTTTTAAATATTATATACTGTAATATAATATAGTATAATATCATATGATATATTTGATATATTTGATATGATATATTTATAAGTATAATAGTATGAATATGTAATCTTAATATCATATCAGTTAATATGATATATAATAAAATACACTATAGTTTTTTAAAATATATTATAACATATATATATATTATATATATATATATATCATTTTACTGTATAAATATATAAATGTACTATGATATGAAATATGATATACATATATAATAATAATAATAATATTAACAATAATAATAATAATGTATGTAATTAACATAATATAATATATATAATATAATATAATATGATAAATATGATATATAATATAATATACATAATATAACATATAATATAACATATATAATGTAACGTATATAATATTTCATAATAATCTCTTCTCCCTATTACTAAAACTCCCCCAACTAATAAAAATAGGAGTGGATTGCCACTTTCGTTTTTTTGGTTGCTCACAATTGCGTTCTTAATTGTGGTAATTGAAAATCAATAGGAGAACAGGATGGTGAAATAATGATAAATAATGGTTTGTACCCCCTATTAATAAAAATAGAACGAGACCCGGTCCCATCAACTTTGAAATCATGTTTTTCATTCTTTATATTAAGGTTTTAATTTGATTATTAAGGGAAAGCTTCGAAATCCAATCTTTGGCAATATTTTAAAGGGATTTTAAAAAGGGATTTAGTTGATTTTGAAATCGTTTTTTTAATTTGTTTATTAAGGTTGTTGTTCTATTACTAGGGGAAAGCTTCGAAATTCAATCTTTGGCAATATTTTAAAAATATTTTTAAAAGGGGTTTGATTGGTTTTGAAATTATTTCTATATATTTTTCAAATTAAGGCTTTTGTTTTATTATTAGGGGACAGCTTCGAAATCCAATTTTTGGCAATATTTTAAAAGGATTTTAAAGAGGGATTTTATTGATTTTGAACTTTTTTTTTGTTTTGTAATTAAGGTTTTTGTTTTATTATTAGGGGAAAAGCTTCGAAATCCACTTTGGTCCCATCTAACGGTTGGTTGATCAGGAGAGGGGAGTTACTTGTCTGTTCATGTCTTTGATCATCATGTCATTTTATTTGCTATTGATCAATCAACCTCTTTTCCGTATGCCATTTTGGTGACTAGCTCAAGAGATCACCAGGCATCCAATTTGTCCCATTAGGTTTCATAGAGGGCCTGGGTGATCACTCAGCTTTCAGGTTCAGTAGGCATGTCCCAATTTCCTCCAGCCATGCCCCGTGCTCTTTCAAATCAAGCGAAGATGCTGCAAGGGAGATCCCGAGCCGCTCGTGCTTCTGATGATCAACAATCTGAAGCTGGTACTATGGGGTCGTGGCGTGTGGCGGAGGATCCTGAGCAGGATGTGCCACCTGATCATGCTGAGGCCTGGAGCGGTGTGTTTGAGCCAGCTCGAGCAGCGCAAGCTGAGCAACCTCAGCCTTCACATCCTGCTCAGGCAGCCCCTGTGACACAGGCTGCTCGCAGCTTTGTGGATTGGTCGAATGAGACGCCTGCTGCTCGGCGCTTGAGAGAGCAGCAGGACAAGGCAGCCAAGTCAGGCCGCCGTTCGGTGAAGTTCAACCAGATGGGCGCTCACAATGCCATCAACGTTCGTTTGCCTGAGCACTTGCAGCAGGTCGGCTCCGGCGAGAATGAGAGATCAGTGCTGGTCCTGGACAGCCGTGACAATAGGCTGCAATCCCCTTATCAAGGGTGGCTGCTGGATGAGATCTTGATCAACGCCAATGCCCGGATCAACATCTTGAGCGATCGAGCTCTTGTGAGGTCGCCCTCAACTGGATATCACATGAACCTGTTCATGCTCAAGACCCTAGATGGCTTCAAACTGGTGCTGTGTGGATCCATGACGTCATATGGATCTGTGCCATGTGGGAAATGGGACTCACACACTGGCAAGGTGCTCTCGCACGAGGCTTTTCAGCCATTCCGCTGGCCTCTCATGCGGGACGACTCTCCCACTTGGGTGGACGTCAAGGTGAAGATCGAAGGTCAGCTCTTTGTTCATTTGGAACTCAGGGGCTATCGCTCAGACAGCGACATGACTGTTCAGATCAACCACGTGGCAGATCACCTGATGTACGTCCTGCAGGAGAATGCTTTCATCCCCACGTTCGTGGTGACAGTGTTCCAAGGATGGCGAGTGGTTGCATGCTCATGGGAAGTGGGTGGCAGGCTCTACGTCTGCTCAGAAGGAGGTGTTGTGGTAGCGGCGGATTACCCGCTGTGTCATTTCGAATGCCGGATCGTGGCGACGTCGTCTGAGGATGCCTTCGGTCTTGACGCAGATCGACTGGAGTTTAGATTTCTCAGTGCGGGCGATCGCCTTGATGTGGCGGCTAGCACCTGCTCAGTCCCTCCGTCGTGGCTTGTGGTCAGCAGAGTGTCAGGGCCAACCCTGATCAGGAATGCAAACTGGTGTCGATCGAAATATGCTCGCATCGAGTCGCCTGATCAGGCTCTACAGTTGGCTCAGCTTGCCAGCATCCATGCCCACTGGACGGTGAATGTTGAAGCCGCTCATGAGGAGGACACGGGACCCATCGTCTCGGCCGTTGCCGTGGAGAGCAATGCAGCCAATTTACACTTGATCTGCGAGTCTCCTTTGTTCAAGAAGGATCGAGCTATTGTGCCCATGGAAGCCTTGGCATTACAGGCTCACAATGCGGAGGATGAGAAGGAGACGGTGGTCCTCCCACCGATCACAGGGGGACCAGCTGTTCAGCCTGTGTGTGCTCAGCCAAGTGGTCTTGCAGCCATTACTGGCTATGTGGGCAACGCAGATCTGACAGTGGCGCCCTTGCCCCCGGAGGGAGTTCTCCCTTCCTTGACGGAACCTGGAGTTGCACCTACACCAAGTTCGTGGTTGGGAGGGTCACTGGCTCCAGCTCGGAGATCGCTTGATCAGAGACGTGCAGAGCGCCTGGATTCCTCAGCGCTCACACCAGCAGGATTTCTAGAGCGTGTGCAAGCCGTTCGGGGTGAGCCTCAACAGCAGGCGGCAAAGATCCAGATCGAAGTGCTTTCTGGGTCGTTGGACGGCTCCGAGAACTTTACGACCCCAACAGAGCCTAGGTCGTTCGGGCCTCCTGCACAGATAGATGAATGCTAGATCAGGTGTTTTTGAAATTTATTTTGCCTGCATGTTCATGTGTCCATACATGCGGCCAATTCAAATGTTGCTCAATGCACAGTTGATGAATACCGACTGGGTGAGCTCGGCACAATTTACGGCGCCTGACTCGCCGCTCGGCAAAAAGGAAGCAGAGCCAGCAGCATTGAAGTTGCGGCATGCTTTTCAAAAATTTGATCAACCAATGCACACTGGCATTGAGCATAACGAGCTTCAGACGATTGTGAGAAGGATCCTTTTAAAATTTCAAATGCAACCATGCTGCAACCTGACAGCGTTTTATATGCCAGATATATTTTGTATATATCCGTTGGTGTGATATATATAACTATATATTTGTGCATATACGGTGGTTGTTTGTGATCGAGTGCTGGATGTGTTCACCCTCTTCCCCGTGTTTTTATTTGGGAGAAGCCAGCAAACGATCGCCTGTCACTGCAGGTTCGAGAGCCCAGTGCAGTCGTGGGAACTCAATTCAATCGATCGGTCGAACACTGTTGATCAAGCAGTAAGAGCTGATGGCTGATCACAGCATTGCGTGCATGATCACGGTGTCGACCCATGTGAGTGCTTTGAACAGCTTCACATGTTTCTGATCGGATAAATGTACTAAACTGTCAAACTGGAGGGGTTTCGAGGGTTCATCTGACAGGTGGATGAGCGTTGCATGCCGTGTTGCTCAACTGCTCACGCGTATGTCCTTGACTCTACTTGTTTAGGTGTTCCCCTTCTTTATTATATTTGCTTTCGCACCCTCCGTAATATCGTTCGAACAATTTTCCGATTTGCTGGTTCTTTCCTTTCTTGTTGGATGAAGCCTGCTTTTGTGTGGTCAACTCTGTGCCTCTTTCACTCTTCAATTAAAGTGATCATGGCTCAAGTTGATAGGTGGACTCTTAAGATCCTGTCCCTTCCATTGTTCAGCGATGCATTTGCCCAGGCGATCGCCAAAACGCCGCTGGCCAACCTGGCATTTGTATCAGCCATGGGAGTGAGCTCGGCTGCAGAGTTTTCGGCTAAAGTAGCCGAGTGGGCGGGGTCTTTTGAACCAGCAGTTGCTCAAGTTTTGTTGAAAGATTCAGGTCAACTTGAGAATTTTTGGTCGCTCGCAATCAGAGCTGAGAAGATGTTCTTTGAGTCAACGGCTTTCCAGTTGGGTTTTGGGCTGTGTGATAACAGACCTCCTGAGACAAGGGGATCTCCACTTGACCAGCTCAGACAGGCAGCGGGGGTCCGGGCGCTGCTCAGCGGCCCAAAAGCGCCAAACAAGAAGCTCAAGGGCCTAGCACAAGCTAGCGATTCTGTGACCCCTCTGCTTGATCAAGAAAACAATGAGAAAGCCAAGTGGGCAGCTCGCCTTGAGGCCATTGGGCAACGTGCCGGACCAGCGGCCAAACTGCTTGTTCAGCAGGAGCAGAGCGATGAGTTGTCGCCCTCCGAGCTGTCGCGGTTGAGGCAGATTGTCCTACTCTCAGGCGCTCCCAGAACTATGTCGGCTCATGTTCGTGCGTACGAAAAGTTTGAGCACTGGGCAACAGCCTCTTCAGTTGTGCTGTACCCTTTGACAGTGGACAAGATCTTGAAATATTGCCTAGTTTTGGATCAGAGAGAGTGCGGCCGCTCAGTGGTGCCAGCATTCAAGACCTCTGTCAAGTGGGTGGCCTCTCGGCTGGCGATCGACCTACCAGATGTGGACGATCAACGGCTGAAAGCCATCCAAGACCAGATCGTTTCTTCTCGGGCCACCACCTTGAAAGAGGCAGTGCCCATTCCGATTGCTGCGGTTTGTAGCATGGAAGCGATCGTAGTCAACCCCAAAGAGTTTGCCCAAGCCAGGATCTTTGTTTGGTGGCTCCTCTGCATGGTGTTTGCTTCACTTCGTTTTGATGACGCCATCCATGTCAAGCCCTCCGAGTTGGTCATGCAAGATGAGGGCCTTTTCGGCGTGGCCTGGCAAACCAAAGTTGAGAGAAAGCGATCCGGCACCCGGTTCATGGTCCCCAAAGTCGGCTTCCGCCATAACGACTGGCTCGAAACTGGGTGGAGCTTGTTCAAGCTGCTGGAAGTCCAAGACCGTGATTTTTGGATGTTTGAGTTGAACTCGAAGTCAGAGTTCGACCAGCGCCCGCCGTCTCACCAGCGCACAGTAAAATGGTTGCGTTGTTTTGCACATCAAGGGGTAATGCTCGATCGTGAGATCCCTGCGACTGAGCGCAAGGGTCTTATTGAAACGGTCGACAAGTTGACTGTTCACTCATGTCGAGTTACCCTACTCGATGCTGCTGTTCATGCTGGGCGTTCCACTGAAGAGATTGGCCTTCAGGCCAATTGGAAAAATCCTGGGCCCATGGTTTTGAAATATACCCGAAATCGCTCATCTGTCCCAGCTACCATGATCAAACAACTTGTTCGAGAAATGGTTCAAGAAAACCATCCCGTGATAGAAGATGCTCAGACCTTTCTCACTGATGCTTCTGATCAAGATTTAGATAATTTGGAATTTTTCATCAAGAATCCCGGGGCTGGCACATATGTACGATTATAAGTTTCACGCTCCCTCAATCGATGATAGCACTCAGACGGCCTGTCGGCGTTTTGCAATCGATGAGTGCCAGTCCGTGGGAGACATTTTGCCAGATTTATCAGTGCTCTGTAAAGCCTGCTCCAAAGCCAGGCCAGAGATCGCGTGCTTTTTCAGTAAGTCCTGATCAATGAAAAGTGGCATGAAAAAGTTGTTTGGCCGGAGCAGAGGGTTTCAATCAGCCATCAGCTCCTACAAACAATCAGTGTTCGCTCGATCGTCGGTGAACTCGCGCAGGGCCGCAGCTAGTGTTGCTCAGTGCCTTGCGGGTCTTGGGCCTGTCGCCAGCATGGTCGATCGCACTACCTACCCGGATGATCAAGTTCCCGAGCTAGCATTGCGGCAGGTCTTCGGGCGCCAGCGGCTCCCAGAGAATCTGTGCCTGCTCGCAGCCGAGGTAGGCCTTCGTACCATGGACACATTTGCCATGCTCGGCGACAACATCACCGGTGTCAAGCAGACCCTCAACCGCATCGTCACTGACCCAGCTCGGTTCGGTGCTGACGCGGCTGCTCAGGAGTTGGCACTCACCAATTTGACAGCAGTATGGAAGACATGCTCGACTTTACAAGAGCATTTCGCCTCTCGGCGTGCCAAGATGGAAGAAGATCCTTCGAAGGTACCCGAAATCCCGGGTGAGGATCATGCAGAGTTCCGGGAGCAGTTCGTGCACAAACACCCAGATGTGTTGTTGCCGCCCCACCGAGAACCTCACAGGAAGTTGGTCGAACGCATCCAACGTGATTACCTTGTTCATGGTGCTGTGATGTTCTACCAGGTGGGTGAGCTGCGCACGCGGAGCGAAGTGATTGTTCAGAAAGCGGGCATTTCTAAGAATGCAGAAGACTTGCTCAAGGTCGTCACGGTTGATCAACCTGTTTCGGCCGCTTCGGAGAGCCAGGTGATGGACAAGCTTCATGCCTTCTTCGTGGCTCTTGAGTACCTCAACATCTGCGAATTCACCGCTGCTCGCGGGCCCCTCTCTCGGAGCTCGACGAGTGGCGGCATGAGAACAAGGGGTTGGCGCTGTTGCTGACAGTCGACTCCTTGATCCGTAAAAAGGTCCATCGACTCAACCATGATCAGAGGAAGTCCTTCCCTACGTTCTCCTCCGCCCTGCTCGAGGTCTTGGCCAACCACAAGCAGCTCTGGAATGATGCGCGCAGCAGCGCAGAACTCGACAAGTTCAAGCAGGCTGGCCAGCAAGCTCCTTCTACTCCACCGCGGGCTCCCAAGCGTGCTCGGGAAGCGGATGATTCACCTCTCGAAGTTTCACCCAAGGCCAAGAAAAACAAAGCTCGTCGTGAAAGGCAGAAAGCCGTGCTCGCTCGAGCCAAAGCCACCTTGGCCGATTCCAAGGGGGCGCGCAAGGAGTCCAAAGTCTCCAAGGACGCTCGTGTGCCAGCCAACGAATGGTCAGCCATCACCGCTTTCAAGTACTCAGGTAAGCGGCGATGCCCATTCTACAATTGCTCATTGGGTTGCCGATTCGGCGATTCTTGCCGCAATCTGCATGCCTGTGTCGAATGTGGGAAGGAGCACCCATGGCACGGGAATCACTGAGCCAGCTCGGTTCCCCCACCTGGGAATTGGCTCCCCCCAGGTGAGAGTGATCACTTTTGTGGGGCCCATGCTGGGGCGAATGAGGAGCCTCAGAGTTTGACTCGCTCTGAAGCTCCGATAGCTCCGGTGGCACAGCCGAAACAACAGTGGCTCCGTTGGGCAGACGTTCCACAGAACGTTCATGAAGTTGCAGCTCAGGGCCCTTGGTTTCTGGAAATTTTTGCAGGGACGGCTCGTTTGACAGACGCAGTCCGGCAGATGGGAATTCCTTGCTTACCACCCATTGATGTGATGATCAGCCAGCATGTTCAAGATCCTTTTGATGTTCTTGATGCAGATCGCTGGACTTTCATCATGCAGCTCGTGCAGATGGGGGCAATTTTCTTTGTTCATTGTGGTACACCATGCAACACTTTTTCTGCAGCTCGCAAAGCGGACGGGGGGCCGCCGCCCTTACGCAGCCCCGCCTGTCCGGAGGGATTGCCGGCGCTTTCAGGCTCCAACTGGTTTCTGGCGCAGATCGGCAACCTGTTTGTTGATCGCACTGTCGAAGTTTGTTTAGGGGTCGCTGAAATGGGAGGCGATTTTTCTATCGAAAACCCTGAAAAGAGCTTGATCTGGAGCACTCGGGGGATACAACGTCTTCTGCGGTGCGCTCGCGCCTGGCTTATCCATTTTGATCAATGTGCGTGGGGGGCTCCCTCGATGAAGCCCACCTCGCTGTGTGTGACTCATGCGGCTTTCTCGCCTCTGCACAGGCGCTGCCCGGGTCATCACGCTCATGAAGTTCTGCAAGGACAAGTATATAGTGAGTTCTTTGGCAAAGTGGTTTATCGCACCAAGCTTGCTCAAGAATACCCGCACTTGCTTTGTGCGGCCATGGCTGAGGCCATCTCAGCCATTCGCGTTCGCCCTCTGCATCTCATGGAGGCCTCTTTCGGGCTGCTCAGCACGGGCAAGCGCAAGCGTATGCTGGGCCAGGCCATGCCTAACATTTGACTGCTCAGCTGGCGGCGGCAGCAGGCTACCAGCTCAAACGTGGTGCAATGAAACCTTTGCTGGAGGTGGAATCCGAGCCGGGTCAGGCTATCTTGCGGGCGATGAGCATCGATCACCCGTTCTCGACCGAGATTGCCGTGGAACCTGGCTTGCAGGCGGCTCTACAACAGTTCGCCTACTCCAGTGAGCACATTCTGCAGCGGCGCTCAGCACTTCTGCATAAGTGGGGAGCGATCGCTCAGTCATCTCTAGAGGCGACTGATCAGATTTTGCGGCGCATCCCGGATGCCCCTCTGCGCCATTTGCTGAGGGGGGTCCCGGACCATGAACCTGCGCAGCTGGGCGTCACTTGCCATCTCGTGCTCTACAAACTGATGCTGGCGGCCATCAATTCGGTTGATCAAGATCTTCCTCATTGCTTGCTTTCTGGTTTTCCAATCGTGGGGCCGATTCTGCGATCGGGCAGATGGCCGCCTTATGAGAAGGCGCAGTCGCCCGTGGCGGTCGCCTTAATGCAAAGCCGGGCCTGGGAGATCCGGAAGAAGATCATTGCGCATGTGCAAGCTGTGCCAATCACAGAGAACCTCAAGAAGATTTGGGATGCGACTGTAGAAGATGTTCATGAAGGCTCGTGTATTGGTCCTGTTTTTGATCAAAAAGATGTTTCCTTTTTAGTTGGTAGGGATGATTGGATCCCCACTCAAAGGTTTGAAGTTGTTCAAAAGAATAAAGTTAGGGGTTGCGATAGTGCAACAACTAACCTGATCAACCAAGCCACAGTGATCACCGAGAAGCTCCAGTTGCCATCTACAGATTCCAACGTTGCTGCATTGCGTAAGCTCAGAGCAATGTGCCCTGGCTCGGAGTTGGCAGGTTGGGTTTTGGATGAGAGAAAAGCGTACCGTCAAGTTCCTATACGACCTGATCACCGCATGTTCAGTGTGATCGCTTTGAAGGAACCAGCTTCTGGAAAAACTGCTTTCTTCGTGATGATTGGGCATTCTTTTGGTTTGGTCTCTGCCGTTTACAACTACAATCGCCGATCGGCTGCTATCAACGAGATCCTCGTCTCCTTGTTTGGTCTGATCGCCTTCAGTTTCTATGATGATAAATACGGTTTTGAACCGGTGCAGACTGTGGAATCCGCCCATCAGATAGCTCAACATGTTCACTGGTGGCTGGGCGCAAAGTTCGACCGTAAGAAGCTCCAACTGAGTCGAGCGCCCACAATCCTAGGTGTTACCTATGACCTGGATGATTTTGTCTTGGAGATCAAGGACGACCGTAAGTCCGACTTGATTGAAGAGATCGACCACATTTTACACTCAGGTCTTCTGGATCCAGGAACTGCTGGAAAATTGAAAGGTAAACTGATGTTTGGTGCAAGCCAGCTCTGGGGAAAGGTAGGCCGTGCATTCTTGCGCGTGATTTCTGAACGCCAATACGCTCGTTTCCCATTTGGTGATTCCGGTTTCGCTTTGGACGAGCCTTTGCGGTTTGCTTTGGAGCACTGGCGACATCTTATCAGAGCTGGTCCTCCTCGACCGATCGAGATGAAGAAGATCAAGAAACCTGACGTAGTCATTTTTACTGATGGTTTTACACCGGATCCGAGAGACGATGATCCTCGTCCGGATAGGGTAGGTGCAGTTCTGTTTGATAGAAGATGGGAGGCTCCTCTCCAGTTCTCTGAGGTGATACCTAAAGAGATGCAGAAGAACTGGGCCCCCAGGAAGACCCAAATTGTTCCTGTTGAAATGATTGCTCCTATTTTAGCTTTACACACCTTTCGCGAGCGTTTGTTTGGCACTGACTTGATTTTGCTGATCGACTCTGAAGCTGTGGAGTCCGCTCTTGTTAAAGGATACTCCAGCAAATCAGACTTGTGCACGCTCGTGTCGGTATTTTGGAACCTAATTTTTGAATTGCGAGTTCGAGTTTTTATTGACAGAGTTTCAACTGATTCCAACCCAGCTGATTGGCCTTCTAGAGACGATCTCTCCACGGGAGAGAAGGCAGGTTGGAAAACCGTTCAGGCATGTTGGCCGGGTGAGCTCTTGAGTTTCGATAGGTAAGTTCTGACTGCAGGGGCCTGGGCTTTTCAGTGATTTATTTCTGTGATTTGTCAGTTGTTTATTTGATGTCCGCTCGTGACACCATGATGATTGACGTGTCTCGGCGACTCTCTCTCTTGTGGTGACAGTTCGGATGTTTTACTTGCTTCAGCCTCACAATCAGTCTTGCCATCGATCGCACTTCAAGATTTTATTTGTGCTCACCTGTGACCCCATGCCTTTTCAGGTGACAAAAGAACCGACGCTGATCAAGCGACAGCTGTAGAGTGAATTGTGTATGATCAAAGAAACGAGAAACGAGTGTGCATGAACGCGACGAGTAGGTCCCATCTAACGGTTGGTTGGTCAGGAGAGGGGAGTTACTTGTCTGTTCATGTCTTTGATCATCATGTCATTTTATTTGCTATTGATCAATCAACTTCTTTTCCGTATGCCATTTTGGTGACTAGCTCAAGAGATCACCAGGCATCCAATTTGTCCCGACCCAAAGAAACCCGCCCTGTGAAAGGGTGAGGTTGATTGCGATTGCAGACTGGGGGCTTTTCAGTGATTTATTTCTGTGATTTGTCAGTTGTTTATTTGATGTCCGCTCGTGACACCATGATGATTGACGTGTCTCGGCGACTCTCTCTCTTGTGGTGACAGTTCGGATGTTTTACTTGCTTCAGCCTCACAATCAGTCTTGCCATCGATCGCACTTCAAGATTTTATTTGTGCTCACCTGTGACCCCATGCCTTTTCAGGTGACAAAAGAACCGACGCTGATCAAGCGACAGCTGTAGAGTGAATTGTGTATGATCAAAGAAACGAGAAACGAGTGTGCATGAACGCGACGAGTATTGGCAATATTTTAGAAGGATTTTTAAAGGGATTCAGTTTTTTTTTTAAAAATAACGTTTTTGTTTTATTATTAGGGGCACCCTAATACTACTGTAAATACCACCTAATAATAGAAATAGATCACCGTGTTTAGCATTTGGGGTGGTGTTTTAGTATTAGGGAACAGAGATTATGATATCAAACAATATAAGAAATAAACCGCACAATAATAGAACATATAATTTAGTATCATATATATCTGGGTAAATTCTAACGACCTCATTGCGACCTCACTGGAAATCATAGTTAGTAAGGGGAATCATCCCCAAATGGCCTTAATTCAGGTTAGTGAAATATTATAATTTACCCATATATATATAATATACACATAGATGTTTTTTGGTACATCGTGGTAGGCTTACTTGTAGCCAACTGAAACGACCACACTCGATAAATCCACTTCGTTTTTTGCAACGTTGAGTTTGGTGGTTTCAACGATGGCCAATCGAGATGATTCCGACGTCGATGGCATTTTTTTTTAAACCATGGGGATACACAAGGAAAACGATTTGCTTAGACTTGTGGGTTTTCCATAGAAGTCTCATGATGGGTAAGAAATGGGATAGCTTACTACAAGCGATGACCCCTCCATCTTTGGCCTACTGGGCCTTCACAAGTTCCTCCAGGGCTTTTGGTCATAATTGTTGAGCAGTACAGATATGGACTAATTATAGTACTATAGCAATCCAAAAAAAAAAATAAAAGATAGAACACTGATTTGCAACATTTTTAGTAGGATCATCATACTTTGCATTTTTTTTTAGTGGTTATAATCAATGGGAATTTCAGGATCCTAACATGGAGGTACTGTACCATATTTTTGGCCATATTTTGTGGGGATATTCCCTTACATAGGCCTTACATAGGCCTTTTATATGGTAGGTACCTCCAATTTAGGTTCCTGAAATGGCCATTGATAACTAGATGTGGCCATGTAGCAGGACTATCATAGACTGGCCATGTGAGACCTGTGAGACCGTCAGCACCACCAAGTGCGCAGGTGGCTGCAACGCCTTCCGAGGCGGGGGAACCAGCTCCAGGGTTGAAGACCATGTCATCCGAAACAATTCGTCTCACTACGTGTTTTGAAAATTAGATCAAATATATATATATATATATATCTGTTTGATTGCTGATTTCACCATGTGCAAAATTGTGTGCTTCTCACAAGATGATCGTGTAAAGCGAAACCATTCAAAAGGCCCAACAATTTTGGGTGGGGGTTACCTTCCAGGGCAACTCAGTGTATACTCCCGCATAGGTGTGTGAAACCTGGGTACCCGGTATTGTCACAGTCCGCAACCAATCCCTGGTTGGAAGAATCAAGAACCCCAGAATTTGCGATGGTATCCAACATCAATCATAGAACATGATGTACTGGAACAGGATTCCCAAGCTTTGACAAAAACCATAAGATGATTGCAGGATGCCCTAAAAGACTTGAGAACTTCAAGCAGTTTCCAGTAATTCCAAAAAATCAATATAACAAGATGTTTAAACCACTTCTGTTATGCCACTTTTTTTTTTTTATTTCATTGGATTACGGAGAAAAAATACAGGAACCATTAATATCAGATAATTCCATTAATATAGAAAATTTCTATGGATTTTCCCCCATATTTCGTGGTAAAAACATGTAAAAACCGGCGGTTTCGACCCGCTTCGGATTCACCAGCGCGGCTGGCTGGAGGGGGATCGAAGCGATCGAAGCATCGCTCTTTTCACACGCAGCTGGGCAAAATTGGTCAAGGTGGCTCTGGAGGGTCAGATGGCTAAGTCCTACACTTTTTGGACATCATTTGTTTTGACCTCATCCTGATTCACTGATTCTGATTCTCCCATGTTCCCATGATATCCGTACATATCATGTGGATGTCATACATGATAAAACAATGTCATACACCGCCCATGACTGGGAATGGTAAACATACCACCTATATGATAATGATTTGGGGATGGCAATTTAGGATTATGGGGGTTGTTACCAAAGTTATAGCCACCAATAGCCATTATATAACAAATATTAACAAATCATTTACTATAGCCACGGTACATAATAATAGCCATTATCTGGGTATAGCTATAGTACATAGTTATAGCCATTAATAACCATTAAGAATCGTTTATAGTACCATTGGCTGTATATTGTTTGGGAAGATCATCTATTGTGGGTAAAACAATAAATAATAAACCACCCATGACCGGGAATGGTAAACATACCACCTATAAAAATTGTGATTTGGGGATGGTTTATGGCACTGTTTTACCCACATTCTATACCCCCCTTTTTTTATCGGCCAAGTGGTATAGGTTTTATTCTCAAGAATTTAGTATGTTCCCAGTTTTCTAAGCCAATTTACATAGTTTCGCAATTGGGTTTGATGAACCCCATGGGCTCGTATACTGGTTTTGGGCCCATTCGCTTTTGGGAGGGCCTAATTTTTGGGACTTACCATTTCCTGTGGATGAAACCAATGTGTTCTTTCCTTGAATCCGCAACTTTTTTGGGTAACATCTCAGTATATCTCAGTGAAATCACAGAAATGTGGATCAACATTTCCCTCTGGTAAACTTACAAAAAGCTTCTGAAAATGACCATAGTTAAATAGTGGATTTACCCATGAATCGCATGGTGGATCTTTCCAGTTCGCTACGTGAATTTTTACTGGAGGCTATGACCTTGAAGATCCGATGTGTGAAAGCTGTGAAAGCCGCCAGCGGTTCCAGCGTTGGGGAACCCCCAAGGCCCCAATGATGATGATGAGCAAGACGTGCCAGCAAGGCTGGACTGCTGGACCTCAGGAATGATCGTTGACGAACCGTTGACCATTTCCAGTTTAGGATCCTACATCCCAGCAATCATCTAGGTCAAGCTAGATTCAAATGGTTGGTGAAAGGGTCATCTTTGTGTTTGTCATTGGAGATATCGCAGCAAGTGGCTTTTGAGATGAGCCACCAAGAACTGGGAGTTTGATTGATATTGACCACGCAAATGATGGCGTCACCTGGGCAAGTGAGTGGTTGGTAAATAAGATCCATTTATGCTGATGTTTTAGCAACGCTGTTGGACGCATCGAATCGTTGATATTCCACCGTTAAAATCAACGCTGCGCAAATCTTGGGAAATTCAAGGCGAAACTCAAAAAAAAACACAGGCGCATGCTGGCTATTGAACCATTCCATACTTGTGGTACTCGTACCAGGTTTGACCCATACCATTCCATACTTACATCAACTTACATCCAAACTGTTTTGGGGTGCCTTCCCCGCACCAACATTAGGAACAGTTTGAAGGGTGGTTTCCAGTCGCGGCGACGAAGAAAATCGCCCAAAGCACACGTTCATGAATTTCCCTAAAAGATCCTGCCCCACACCAGGCTTTTTGAAGCTCCAAACAAAAGCGCGTAAGGAGCCGTAAACCCACATCAAGCAGCATCAAGGTTCAATATGATTTTACACGATCTGCAAAACGCTACAACTATATAAATACTTACCATCTGGTTATTTAACATAGCCATGGAAAATCACAATTTTTATCAATTTTTAATAGGTAAACCTCTATAAATGGGCCATTTCCCATGGCTATGTTAAATAGCCAGAGGGTAAGTGTGCTGGTTGTGAAGATGGCATTATGGATGTGTTTTTTCACATATTGGATGTACCCCCGAGGTGGCCAGGGATGATGATGATGATGATGATGATGATGATGATGATGAAGCAGTTTTCAATGGCCATTTCAGGATCCGATTTATTGGAGGTACCGACTCCATATATAAGGCCTATTTTTTAGGCCTAAATTTCAGGGAATATCCCCAGATATGGCCAAAAATATGGCCACGTTTACGTACCTCCATGTATTGGATCCTGTAAGATCTCCCATTGAAGTTTGATTCACCCATTTTCAGATGAAGCCACCTGTTAGAAGCAGCCGGAGCTGCACCAGGCAAGATCCAGGAGTTACTGCTCCAGAAGCTTCAGCTGTACGACAAGCTTGATCCCAAGAGAGGGCACGGCACGGCGGCACGGTACAACCCCAAGTGCGGCCCCTAAGAATCAGAAATTGACTCAGATTTTGCCATCGAAAATGGGGTTACAACATCTTACAACCAACCAAGACAATC